CGAAACGTTAGGAAACAAAACTTCAAGACCACGGCCACACAGCCCGGAAGACCCACACCAAACTTTAACACCTTGCTGCTATCTAGTAGTCAACTGAATTTTTACAGTCCAGATATGGTCATTTTAGTTTTATTTGTATCCAATCTGCAAAACCTTTCCCTGGTGTAAATTATTGTGGGAGCGAATGAGATAACATTCAGGCCTTTGTCTGAGAAAGAAAAATGTAATAACACCCAATGAACTATATGCAAAATTTCTGAGTTTCCTGGAAAAAGTGCAAAATGTCAATTAAAGAATAACATAATTAGGCTGTGTTACTAACAATGACTGGAAATCTGGTCCATAGAAGAATTAAACATTTCTTTCTTTTTTTGTAAAAAAAATAATAATAAAGTGCTGTATCAAATAGGGCCCTACAGTAAAAGGCTACCAGTTAAAATACTCCTGTTCAAAATTCCAGCTATGAAATTTCATTCTCATTGCTCAAATCTTTTTTTTTTTCCTGTTTCTTGAACAGCTGGCCTGCATCTTGTGCCCACTGGGTATATTCAATCTTCATAGACTTCTTTCATAACTTTGGGGTTGAGGTTTTGAGTATGCTAAGTTCTAGTTACCAAATCTTAACTAGGGCTTCTACGCAAAGCACTCATTTTTGTTATGTTATTTTAAAATATCTGTTCAGTGAAAACCATGATGATCTAATTAGATTGTTTACTTGTACATCTCTATAACTTCTCCATTTATCTGACCTTTCAGTCCTACCACTTGCAAAACTAGTGGGAAGTCTTCTAGAGAAATAAATGCCATTATATGTGCATTCCTCCATTCTTTCAGCTCACTGTGAGAATACAGTTAAAAACAAAAGATGACTAATTTATTATATTCAACCAACATAACAAAACACAAACTCTTACAATGCATCTTATTGGACTCTTGAAAATCCTCATCTTCTTTATCAACTCCTTCAGGGTTTTCTATAAATTTATTAATATTATCATCTAAATACCAACTCAGATTTTCATCAAATACTGTTGCAAGAAGGAAGAATTCCTTGTCTACATTTTGCTATGAGGAACAGAAAATAGAAAAAGAAGAAAATTCAAGTATCAGTAAAACGGGGTTATCTGTTATAACAATATTATGCTTATTATGCAACCGAAAAGACATGTTTGCATAGAATTATAAATACTTAGAAGCTTCTTGAATGAGTAACAACCTCATGTGGTATAACCTATATGATAAATGGAGACAGCTCAGCTTCAATAAGAACAGTTTTACGGTAGGTATAGCTATAGCTGATCTTAGCATCTTTAAAAATAATCAGCCAAGAATTATTTTAGTAAGTCAGAAAATTTTCAAATGTATATTTCAAAAATGATATTTAAAAAGTTGGGGAAAGATTAGGGTATTGCTACAGTAAAAGAATCAATGAGGGTTCATTTCAAGATCTGAATGGGTTTTCCTAGCCAGGAAGAGACACAGTAAGAAAACGCATAATTCTCTTAGTCTATTTTTTATCTATTTGGGTGTTCCGTTCCTAATGAAAAGAGCCCTTTGCCTGCATGTTGGGAAAGCAGCAATTGTGCAGCTTTATCCCTTTTGGAGATATTTTATTCAAGACCCATACTGGGGTCTTCATTAACTTATTATTGTTCTGAAATTATGCCATTTTCTTCTGGAGATCAGAGAGTTGGTTAATTACTTAAAACAATAATGCCTTTGTCAGTAACATGTCAGTTAGAGATTTTGATGCATGTATAAGCTAATTTTAAAATATACAATTTCTAATCTAAAAAGTTTTAAACTTTTTAGGTCAACAAAGGGCAATTTCATAGGAATAGCACTGCCTGGGTCTACTATTAGAGCCTCTTTCTGGCCCAATGTTTGCTATATCCACTGGATGATTTTAATGGCATTCCTGTGGCTGCAAACTTGGACTATCCAGACATTTTACTGATGATTAACTCCTACAAATGAATTCATTAGGCAAACTCAGCAAGATAAGGTCAATTTTACCAGTGGGATTCAATTATGTGGATCAAACAGCAAAAATTTCATTAGTGCAATAAATACACCAACATGGGACAACTTCAGAAAGCCATCCTGGGATGAAATATCGCAAAGCCTATGTAATATTTTCCCCAGTGTGCAGAAAAAAGAACATTCTGCTGGGTGCATGGCAAGCCTCTTGTTTTTGCAGACTCAAGAGGAGTATAAACCAAGAAGTTTGATTAAAACTCTTTTGGGCCACTAGCTGGATGTTTATGTGACATGCATGCCTGCTCTATTCTGAAGTTGTCCAACAAATTGTCCCATATTAGCCAGATAAAGCATGCTAGAAGATGGAAGTCATAGTGATGAAGAAGCACCCCAGTACTACACACTTTTTAAATGGTTGCAAGCTGCTTGGTGAAGAACATTTGTTTAGCAAGACAGCATACACAATTTACAACATAAATGAATATATACAGCAAATATGTCCTATAAAATACAACTCTTTTACCAGGGCCCTTTTCATTAGCATGGTTCAGGAGGGGGAGGAGGATAGCTGGAATGGACTGGTGATTTTAGTTCTGTCATTACCGGTTTCCATGGAAAAGGCATTGCACCTTTCCTGCACACCAAGAGTGGGCCCACCAGGCCAGAATTGGTGTCTCTGATTGGATCTGAAGCTGAATAATATAGCAGAGTTAGACAATCTGGATCTTCTGGAGTAGGGCCCACAGTTTCTGGCACTTCCCACTCATAGATGAATTTCTCTCCAGGATTCACATGTGAGGCTGGACTTGGAATACCTGCAGTATGTTCATAATTGAAATGAAGTTGAATTGGATTGAATTGAATTGAAATTGAAGTCACCAATCCTCCACCAATTGAAATATGCCAAGACATTTGGTTGATTTTTTTTAATTAACATCACACTTACAGAGATATATTAACATACATGCATTTACCTCCAAATAGAGTGTTGTAGAAAGCCCCCTCATTGCTCTTGCTATAGCTCAAGCCATGTGGCTGAATGCTGAACGGGTGACTTGCATTGTTGAAGAAGACTACGTGAATAGTGTCACCAACTTCTGCTCTGATGATAGGTCCTAGTTAAAAGAAAGATAATCAACCTTCATTCTTATTGGTTGTGACTGGTCCTAGCTGTCCATGACTGATTTCAAAAAGTTAAACAGGGTTGGATCTGGTTAGTAGTTCAGTGGGAGACTCCTGGGAAATCTCCAGCCTGTAGCCAAAACTGTGAAGTTAAAAAAAAAAATCATTCTGGAAGAAGATAAGACAAAACACTTTGGAATTGTTGCCACAGAAATTACATGGGCACATCTGTAGGGTCACCAGAAAACTAGCTGAACCCAAAGGAGACTATATATCTATCCACCTACCTGCTGAACTAGCTACCTAGGTAGGTAGCTTCCTAATTTTTTTTAAAATTAATTTTAGGTGAGAATATTAAGCATGTTCCATTTTCCACTTGTGCTTCAAACACCCAGCACATTGGCAAGGATGCACTTAATGTCAGTGCAACATAACCTATAAATATTTTGCTGAGCCTTGCAGGATTTCTATTGACATAATTCCTACTATTCTAACAGCTCCTACTATCATAGCATTTGTACAGGTCCACCCTGCATCTTTGGTCATTTTCAAAAAATAAACTTCATAGATTTCTGCAAGATGCATATTGTCATAATTCACAGTATTGTTTTACAGCTCATGTAAATTGCAAATCACAAAATTATAAGATAGACTTACCCAGAAGTCCAAGATGCTTCTCAGTATGAGACCTGAAAAGGCGCGTAATAAAGCTATCACTGGTATACTGAAAAAACCGAGCTTTTTTATAAGTTCCACCAATTCTGTTTTTGCCTTTTTCAAAAAATACCTTGGAATCCCTAAGTAAAAAAAAAAAAAAAAAGCATTTCAAAATTTGTATTCAATAGCAACAGAAAGAAAGGTATTTCACATGGCAGTAAATAGATAATATGGACTCCTTCCCTCCCTTTGTGTTTTTTCTCAAGAACTTTTTTTTTAATGAATGTTAATATTCAAACTAATAAAAAAGTACAGATATACACAGCAGTATGAAAGGATTATTATAAGGTCGACTGGTGGGGCCCAGGAAGAGAGCTTTCTCTGCTGTTTCCCTTGCTCTATGGAACACTCTCCCCCCAGAGATGAGGCGGGCTCCCACTCTCCCGGCCTTCCGGAAAGGGGTGAAGACCTGGCTCTGCCAACTCGTGTGGGGTGGGAGGAGGGGTAACCAATCCTGGGGGTGGTTAGTACCCTGAAGTGGCTCCTGTAGACTAATAACTTTTCATTTACCATCTATTCTTTGGAATACATTATTTATTTAAGAACACTGTTTTATTGCATTTTAATTAGTAT